TCCATTCGAGAGCTTAAAACCTAGTTTTAAGCTCTTAAAACCTAGTTTTAAGCTCTTAAAACCTAGTTTTAAGCCATAAAACCGGGTATTAGGCCTTAAAACCTGGTTTTAAGATCTTAAAACCCGGTTTTAAGGTCTAAAACTAGGTTTTAAGGTCTAAAACCCAGATTTAAGGTCTTAATACCTAGTTTTAGACCATAAAACCTAGTTTTATACCTTAAAACCGGGTTTTAAGATATTAAAACCAGGTTTTAAGGCCTAATACCCGGTTTTATGGCTTAAAACTAGGTTTTAAGAGCTTAAAACTAGGTTTTAAGAGCTTAAAACCGAGTTTTAGACCTTAAAACCTAGTTTTAGACCTTAAAACCGGGTTTTAAGATCTTAAAACTAGGTTTTAAGGCCTAATACCCGGTTTTATGGCTTAAAACCAGGTTTTAAGAGCTTAAAACTAATGCTTAATTTCTAGTTTTAGACCCTAAAACCCGGTTTTACGGTATAAAACCCGGATTTAAGCTCTTAATACCTAGTTTTAGGGCGTAAAACTTAGTTTTAGACCTTAAAACCTGGTTTTAAGATCTTAAAACTAGGTTTTAAAAGCTTAATTCCAAGTTTAGAGCTTAAAACCGGGTTTTAAGAGCTTAAACCAGGTTTTAAGAGCTTAAAACCAGGTTTTACGCTTCCCCGAGGCATTAGCTCCTGATTGGCTAGTTTGCTTATGCTAGTTTCTGCGGGACTGCGATACAGTTCCTGGCGCGGAAAACGAACAAGGAGGGGAGAAGCTAGTGGAGACGGAGGAGGGGGAGAAGCTGGTGGAGAAGGAGGAGAGGGAGAAGGAGGGGAGAAGGAAGAGGGGGAGAAGAGAGAAGCTTGTGGAGAAGGATGAGGGGAGAAGGGAGAAGCTGGTGGAGAAGGAGGAGGGGGAGAAGCAGGTGGAGAAGGAGGAAGGGGAGAACGGAGAAGGTGGTGGAGAAAGAGGAGCGGGAGAAGCTGGTGAAGAAGGAGGAAGGGGAGGAGGGGAGAAGGGAGCTGGTGGAGGAGGGGGAGAAGGGAGAAGCTGGTGGAGAAGGAGGAGAGGGAGAAGCTGGTGGAGAAGGAGGAAGGGGAGGAGGAGGGGAAGAAGGGAGCTGGTGGAGGAAGAGGGGGAGAAGGGAGAAGCTGGTGGAGAAGGAGGAGGGGGAGAAGCAGGTGGAGAAGGAGGAAGGGGAGAACGGAGAAGGTGGTGGAGAAGGAGGAGGGGGAGAAGCTGGTGGAGAAGGAGGAAGGGGAGGAGGGGAGAAGGGAGCTGGTGGAGGAGGGGGAGAAGGGAGAAGCTGGTGGAGAAGGAGGAGGGGGAGAAGCTGGTGGAGAAGGAGGAAGGGGAGGAGGAGGGGGAGAAGGGAGCTGGGGGA